ATTGCCCAGCGTATCCTGCAGGGGTCCCACATTACCCGGCACCTTCTTCATCCTCCCAATATATTTGAAAAAGGACTTTTTGTTATCCTTAATCTTGGACGCTAATCCAAGCTCTATGTCCGCCTTGGCCATCCTAACAGCTCGCCTACAGGCCCGAGCAGAGGAGGTATACTCCTCTTTGGAGATTTCACCCCCCTTCCACTGGGCGTACGCCGCCTTTTTGGCAAGCAGGCATTCCCGGACACCCTTGGTGAGCCAGGGGGGCTTTCGGACACTGCTGCCCCCCTTGCTTCTTGTCGGGATGGACACCCCTTGGGCCGTGAGTATCGTTTCCTTAAGGAACGACCACTCGTCTTGGACACTGAGTTCCTCTGCCCTCGAGGACCCCAGTGCCTCTCCCACTAATTTCCTCATCTCAATGAAGTTGGCCCTCCTGAAGTCTAGGGCTACCGCCTTGCTGCGGACCCTTGACACCCTACGCTGGATGGTGAATTCCAGCAAGCAATGATCACTATTGCCCAGGTGGTCAAGAAGTTGTGCTGTAGTGCCAAATTTTTATGTCCTTGCTGTTGCATCCAGAACTTTGACTGGGATGCTTGACTTCCTTTAGTGAACATGGGAAAGAGTAAGGTGCCTTAGAGAGGGATCTGAAACAGCCAGTTCACTCCATGTGTAATTCCTTAGAGCATGTTGACTAGCAGCGAAGCAACAAATGCAGGGGTGAGTATAAAATTCTGCTGCAGACATCTTGCTCCTAACAGCAAAGAGTTGCTTCTGCCTATTTGGAATCCACCTCCTGCCCTATGTACCAAAGACTGGTCCCTATGCTCTTCCTTTAAAAGATTTGGTCAGGCTCACTCACTTGTTTCAAGACTTTTGTTAACAGGGGCAGGTAAAGAGACGCTGGTGTTACCACCACCATTGTTTCCTTCTTATAGAACAGTGTATAAGAACGTCTTATATAAGCTGAAAACAAAAGTCTTTACCCCAAAATTGGAGACCAAGGCTCGTTTCCACATTGAAACGCTAATGGAAGCAAATCAAATTTTTGTGCTTCGAGATGAATGACCTAACTATTAGGCCATGGAGGTGTTTTTACTCTGTCCCATAATCTCTTAAATTATCTGTACTGAGGCCTACCTTCAAAAGAAAGAGTGAAGAATGTTCCCACTTGGAACAGTTTATAGTCTGCTGGTAAGGGTATTTTCCTGGGCATGGCAAATAATGATTTCATTCTCCTTCAGCAGTGAATGGATCAAACCTGAAGCTCCCACACCCTACATGACAAATGTAATTATGAAGAAACTTCAAAAAAAGTTGGAGCTTTCCCCTTAACCTTTCCCCCTGTGGCTCTATTTTAAAAGAAAGTAGTGGATACCAGTGTATTATTGACATGGTGATTAGGCAGAGTAATGCCTAGTTTCTGGATCTTATTTGGCCAAGCTGCTCAGCTCTGTCAAAACTGATGAAGGGCTTTGTGTGTGCTGATGTACAATGTTCAGGTGCTGTGGGAATAAAGTAAATAACTGTATTGCTTAATTGTGGTGTTTAGATCAGGGTGGTCAACCCCCCTTCCCCTGCCTGTGGGCCGGATCTGACCCTCAGCGCCATGTCATCCAGTTTGTAGGGTTCCCCACTGATCCAGAAATTTGGTGACAGGGGAGTGGAAGTACGATTTCCCCACCATTGAATATCTGGACCAATGGGGGTCTAATCTGTATGGTTGCTATGGTATTGTAACAGTTGGTTGAATTAATTAACCAGCAAGTCCCTACTATTTTTCTGCTTGCTTATTTACAAAATAATCTTTTTTTTCCATAGAGCTGGACAGGATGCCGGATGCTAGCACACAGGACTGGATGAGGATGGTGCCTGGCCCCCCATGACCCAATCTCAGTACAAAGGGGTGAGGGCCTTCAGAGCCCAATCCAATCTTGGGTTGTCTTCATCTAGGCCACAACAATTTGAGTAAGTCAGAGGCTTGGAAAACTGGCTTTAATTAAAAAAAGCCCAACTAGTGAGGCCCTCAGCTTGTTTGTGAACAGAAAACTGGACTGCGTACAGCTCATCAGTTGCTAGGACAATTGCTCTGCAGCTCAAGTGGTTTTGTAGCATAGCCACTCTCACTTGGGCCAGGCTAACTTCAGAGAAGTTAACTCTCTAGTAAAGTTGTGACCTACGTGACTTGTCTGATATTGCACATCAGTGGCAGAGGTAGGAATAGACCTCAGGTGTCCAGATTCCTCTCTCTCTTCTCAAGCTGGCTGACCCAATGCAGCTGAGTCGCTCAGTATTTCTAGAATGTTTTCTCCACGCAGGCTGTTTCTCTGACTCTGGGAGAATATGGACCAATGCTATTATGATCTCTCATTATTCTTGCATGGTCAAAGGCCATTTTTCTTCTGTTTAAACAGTTCAAAGCTCAAACTCTTCAAATAGCTTACAAATTCACAATTGTCCACCTTTGGTTTTCCTAAACCTGTTTAAAAATTAAGTTTAATCATTAAAATATTTTGGGCACTTCATGGAAAATGTGAAACACAGCCTTTGATTTTGGCATAGTGTGTTGATCGGTGAAGTTTCTGACAGCACAGGTTTCCCTCGCTTTATGCAGGTTCTGTATCTGCAAATTCACTCATGCAGTGACCCATTTTATACGAAAAATTTGTTATATATGAAGTAAGTTCACTCTTACGCAATTGGTGTGGTAGAAGTCCGCAGTCAGCTGCTTTGTGCGGTGCATTGTGGGAGTGACATGCACCAAAATATACTCTCCTGCATGGATCTGTGCTCCTTGCTCATTGTCTGCGATGTGTGTTTCTGTAGTTGCCATCCCCATTTTGATAGTGCTCTGTGCTTTGTGTGTACTGTCTGCTGTTGGTGAGTACCAAAATTGTCTTGTAAAAGTGGTAGAAATGGGTCCAGGGGTCAGTACAATCAAGGTCTTCAAACATATCTCTATTTGTTTCATTGTACAGGGGTTCCCTTTATGTGAATTCGAGTTATGCATTTCCAGGAACACATGTACAGCACAAAACAAGAGAAACCTGTATTAGTATCCTGTTCACTGAAATCCCACCTTATTCCATTAGAGACCCAGCAAGTCAGATGTGATTCACAGAGGCAGTGGTGAATTCTGGCTGCTGCTGTGCTGCCAGTGTGACCATATGGCTATGGCGACAGCTGCTATTTTTTTGTGCCCCCTCGCTCCCTTTCCCCCCTGGGTTGCTGCACCCTAGTTATGCTACTGTTCCATGATATTACTGTGATAAAGGCAAGAATGCCTAAAATTGGCTGATTTATTTTTTTCTTTTGTCTAATTCCGAGAAGTCATTCAAAATTCCTGGCTGCAGGAAAGCTAGTAGTATCCATAGATGGCATTGGTTTCATTCTATTCTGACACCAGCCAATATTTGGCATCTTATTCAAGCATACTTGAGGGAAGGAATTGTTACTCTAACTCACTTCCATCTGCTCATTTTAACTCCAAATGGAAGATTTCCTCACTGCATAAAAGAAGTAACTCTTGCCAGGTGCAGTTCAAAAAGCACGTAGTATAAAGAAACAGATTAATGCAAACGACATTAGCACATTCTGTTACAGGCTGTAGTTGTAGCTTAATTTGCAGATTTGAATATCGTCAGAAAGACTCCCTGCAAATCCTATGCTGGTTTTCTTATTAAAGTGAAGTAAAAAGTTTGACATGCAAAATACATCTGACAGATTAGCAAAACATCTCAGAAAATTACTTTCTTGGATTGCAAGAGTGATGGAAAATTCTCCTGCATATGCCAGTATGTGTTGGTCTGGGAAAAAAAGTGTGGGATGCTTTAAGAAATTCTTATCTTTCATTTCCTTTATCCTGTGCTCATTTATCTAAAGGAGAGGATGGGGAGGAGAGGACAGAGAATCCTGGAAATGGCATCTCAAATAGCATCAGATATCCTTGTTTGGGGAGGAGAAGGGTGAGCTGCGAGTTAACATTAAAGCGTGAACCTACTGTTTGTTTCATGATAAATGCACACAGAGTAAAAAGAATAGAAGAATAATACAGCTAGATCCTAGGCTAGTGAGAAAACCCAGGCACAGTACAAACTTTAAATAAATAATTCCTGAACTTGGACCTCCCTCCTCTTGCTCAAGAAAACATCTGGATACATTATCCTGACCTGTTTATCACAATGTTGATGAAGAACAAAATTTTATTTGCCATTATTAGACTGTTGAAGCAAGCATTATCTAGAGTGTGCCAAACTGATCACCAGCAAAAATAATATTAACTTTGTCGTGCAACAGGTTTCTAAATTGGACAGTAATGAAAAAGAGAGAAACAGAAAAACATGAGAGTATAGACAGGGCTGAAAATAAAAGTTACTAAGTAATAGTAATAGTAATAGCAATAGCAGAAGGATTTTTTCATATCTCAACAGGGGAAGACAGTGAAACTGATGACTTATCCTGGTGCTTCTCTTTGTTTAATCTGCCCAGAATAGACTCAGTGCATCTTCTGCCAGCATCAGAAAGAGGTCACAGCAGCATCAGGGTGACTGTCTAGCACCTAAAGTGTGGTACCAAGTGATTCTGAGAATGGTTAAGGCAATATAGTGCTAGCAAAACTGGCAGGAGTTCTGAGAAAAAAGGTTGTATAAAAGGAGTGTCCTGAAAAGGGTTTCAGCAGAGTAAATATCTCCTGGTAACCTATGTAGACTGAGGTTGTTAATCACGCAGGTGAATAGTCTTTCACTAGTCACTGTGAAGTGAATGGAACTTCCCAGGAGTAGAAATTCCCGAAGACCCCATAATCTCTGTGTTCAAAGAAAACTGGCTTATAGCCATATCTACCACTATAGTTTCACTGGAAGTCTTAAACTCCTAAAGAACAATATTTTTCTTGTTCAAACAAATTCTTTCCTACCATTTCTCTGACCCTATTTTGTACCATCCATTGCTTATCATCAAGCTTAGCTGCTGTCATCTACTGAAGTTCAGATATTTTGAAAACACCCACTCAGCCTTAATGTAAGCATTATTTAGAAAATGAAATATCCACAATGCAATATCACAAAGCTCCTAATTCAAGTGATTTGCAACACACTACACACTAAGCCTGCAGTTTTTCTGGACTCTGAATTGGCTGTTCTGCAAGTTGGCCTAATGCATTCTTGTGGAAATTCTGTGGGTTTTTTGGAGAAAGGCAGGAAGAAAAATATACCATTTATTTATTTCAACAAACAAAACCAGTTTTAAAGATGCTTAGAGATTTGATGTGTTTAAATAATTCTAGTAAAAACAAATTAGAGTATAGGATATGGGTTAGGAAAGATGGGGGAAGACAGAAAGAGCAGATTAAATGAAGTCATTATCATTATATAATAACTCTGCAATTTATTATTTGGCTGTCAAAAGCAAATATGTGGCATGTGTATGTGCATTATATGTAGGCTTCCCTCCTGGAGCAGGAAGAGCCTGTTGCATGTAAAGCAAGGCCAGCATGTCTTAGTGACCAGTGTAGTCATAAATAATTTTTTCCTTTTTATTGGTGATTTTATAAATAAGCAAGTGGAAAAATAATAGCAACTGCTGGTTAATGGATTCAGCTAACTGTTATATTACCATAGCAACCATACATACTATAGCCACACTGGAAATGCCTGGCTTTTCTTGGATATTAAAATTCAGTTCATTAAAAAAAACCCAAACAAACAGGCACAACAGACTAAGGATGTTTTTATTGCATGTGAAGGAATTATTCATTTCAATTGCATGGCTGAGAAAAACGTGAATATAACATGTGCTGCATTGCTATGTTGGCTTAGAGTCTCTGCAAATAAGACCATATTTGAATTACAATAAGAGTACCGTGCCTTGCAAAATATTAGCAAAATTAATACCAGATGATATTTATGAAAGTTATTGTCTCCACAATACAGAAACATGGCCCTGATACAAAGGTGCTTGAAATCAATGAGACTCCTTCCATTGACTTCATGGCTTTTGCATCAGGTCATAAAGTTGCAACCAAACTATTCTTTTTATAAATACTTTAGTATTTTGTAAATAAAATGGAACAAACATCCTGTAAAATTTCACAATGTGCCCAGAGCTAGGAAGAGCTGTAGATGTACAAGGTATTTGCAAAATAAATACAACCCAAAGGGCTAAGCAAGCCTAAGACCCAAAAAGCAACCAGAGCCTTTCAGTTGAGACCCTTGCCCCAACATCTGCACGGTAAATAGTTATATTTACAATACAGCAGTAGGAAATTTGGCATGCCTGCTTATTGGCTATTCTTTTACAACACATTTGCTGTTCCAGGTGATGGAAACAAATGTAATTTTCTTACTGATTAACAAGAAGGGAAATTGTCATCTTAATATAGTGTAAAAGTGCTCTACAGAACTAGTGCTCTACTTTCCTCCTCCCTTCTACTCCCCTACCTCTCCCACTTTCAATAGAGTTGTCATTGGAATCTCCCCATAAAGAACAAGGAGGGAGAGAATAACTATGGTTTCCTCTGACTTAAGTACACTTGAAGATCTATCCAAGACTTCCTCTGAGACCTTGATGTGCAGCCAACTCTATAAAAAATGTACACCAAACCTGAGTGCATAAAACATCTTTGGCCTCATTTTCAGGGATACTGAAAGCATCTGTAAGCATCAGAATTATGAGCAGCAATCTGAGTTTCCTGTTTGCCAAAGGAAAACATAGATTTTCTCCTTTAAAGAAGAACAACACAAGAAACCACAGGTTTCCCCTTGTAGGCTAGCAGACTTCCAGTCTAGCTGCTTAGGGCTGGTGGGGAGTGGGAGGAGGGCAATCACAGGCAGAGGGCACCACTGCACCAGGGGGCACCAGTGTAGTGTGGGATCATTTTCAGTTAGCAGATGATCCCAGGTATACTACCTGCCAGCACTGCCAAAGTCAGATCAGCCAGGGCAAGAAACTGAAACACTTCACCACCACAGTGATGCTGCTACATCTCAGGAGGCAGCACTTTCTTGCTCTTCTTCCTCCTCAGCCTAGAACCAATGGGACCATGCCCAAAGGGAAGTGTCCCTCATGCTACAAAGCCCCTGCCCCCCTCAAAGCAGAGGGAGGACACACTGGAGTGGTGGGGGAAAGCCACAGACAAAGGTGGGGGGGGGTGTTGCAAGGGCAAGTGAGGTCACCCAGAGCACTGGGGAGATACTTGCTCTGGATGGCCAGCCCTTCTCCTTAGTTGAGCATCCAGGGTTCAGGTGGCTCATGGCCCCATCCTACCAAGTGCCCACATGCACCACCTTTAGCAGGATGGTGGTGCTTTCCCTGTATGAGGCATTCAGGGAGTACTTGAGGGAGGAGCGTGCAAGGCAGGTCTGCAGGTGGGCAGGCCAACATCTGGAGCAGCTGGGGTTGAGATGACTCCTACATCTCCCTCACAGGGTACTGATATGATCAGTCAGGCTGTCGGTGGACTCTCCTTCAAGCCAAAGTGATTGATGAGTCCCACATGGCAATGGAGATCATGGTGGCCATGAACTGCATGGTACAGGGGTGACTTGTTAGGCAGGGCAAGCTCACCCACAGATTCATGGTCACTGACAACAGGGTCAATATGGTCAAGGCTATCCATGATGCCAACTTTGTTGGCATCCACTGTGTGGCACACAAATTCCACCTCATAGTCAGGGTTGTCTTGGAGGGGGACAGGGCTGCTGGTGACAGCACCATCACTAACATGACCAGCCAGCTCATTTCAAAATGCAGGAAGGGGGCAGGCTACTTCCACCAGACCATCAAGTGGGGCAAGATGCTGTGGGAGAAACAGGCAGAGCTGAACATCCCCCAGCACAAAATCATGCAGGATGTGGAGACTTGGTGGAACTCCACATACCTGATTCTTGAAAGGCTGGTCAAGCAACAGAAGGCCATCCATGAGATGACCTTGCTCGGGGTGATTGGGATCAGTGGCCCCCTTAACAAAACAGAGTGGGATACCATCTTCCAGATCTTGGTGGTCCTCAAGCTGTTCCTCAAGGCCACCGAGAGCCTCAGTGCTGGTGATGCCCTCTACTTAGCCAGGTGATTCCCACAGTGAAGGATCTTGGGAATCAAATGGAGATGTTTCAGGGGATTGATGTTCCTGGCTGGGGCAAGTCACTTTCACCAGAGGGGCAGGCACTGGTGAAGCGGCTGAAGGAGGGCATCAAAAATGGCTGGATCCCTTGCAGTCCAGCATGTGCTGGCAGGCATGTCCAACCCAAGGGTGAAGGGGAGCATCTGTCTGCAGCAGCAAAACCCTCGATCACTGGATGGAGATGATGGTGAACAGAGTTAGGGAGGCAGAAGGGCAGAGGTGGGGGGATGTGGAAGAGGGGGATCCACTGTGCCATGCCAGCACTCCAAGCACCAGTCAATCTCCTCCACCACAACGGTGCCAATGTGGACCAAGGGCATGGCTTTGATGGTGGGTGACAGAGACCCCACCATCTGGCAGGTAGCTCAGAGGCCTCAGTGGCTACCTATCTTGCTGTGATAGGTTAGGATGTGGATAGGATAGGATGTGGAGCCGCTGCACTGCTACCGCTTCACCTATTGGGCAACCTGCAGCCACATGTGGCAGAATCTGGCCACAGTTGCCCGGGAACACCTGTCCTGTACACCAACCAGTGTTCCAAGCAAGAGGGTGTTCAGCATTGCTGGTGATGTTGTGACACCCCACCACACCTCCTTGGTTCCTGGTTTGGTAGTGCAGCTGGTGTTCCTGAAGGTGAACCTCCTGCCAGGTGGTTGTAGAAATGGTGATGATTCTGTTGTGGGGTGTAGGAAATGTGGGGGTACTGGAGATATGTTGGCAGGTTTTGAATTTCTTGTCATGGCACAGTCTGAATCCATTCCATGTATTTTAGGCTGTAGGAAGTTTCCTTCTGGTGATGAGGTTAGTGAGGTTTGGTGCTTGTTTGAATTTACAAAACACCTTTTGTAGACAAGCCTACAAACTTTACTTCATAAATCTACTGGATATAAAAACTCATGGACTCAATACAGACATTGGATTTATGACAAACTATAACCAGCCTGACATCTGACTCCCCAGGTACCTCTCCACTTTTTCCTAGTTGCTACACCCCCCTTCCCCCTCCCCCAGCCTGTATCTCACCCCCTGACACCTGAATTTACACTTTTACTGACTGGCTTTCTTGCCTACAGCCCAACCTCTGGCTTCTTTACTATTCCAGGAAGAGCACCCACACCAACTACAGGTGCTTCCTCAGCCTGACAAAGGGTTTTTAAACCCAAAAGCTTGCGAAGATATATTTCTCCAACTATTCAGTTGGTCTAATAAAAGATATCACATCTACTCAAAAAACCTTGCCTGTCTGTTCCTTAGACCAAAACAGCTACAACCAGATACCCAGTTAACACACACAAATGACATGACTTCTGCTTTCAACAATTTGAGGTGCACTTTCAGAGAAGCCCCTGCACCTATGTCCTTGAAACCTGGCCGGCTTCATGCCCTCAGAAGGGGCTACTGTCCCTACTGCTTTCAACCTGCTCTGCCTTAACACACACAACATGAGTTTTGCTTTCAGCAGTTTAAGGGGAACTTTCACAGAAACCCCTGCACCTTTCTCCTTGAAACTTGGCAGGATTCATGCCCACAGAAGGGGCTACTATCCCTGCTGCTTGCATCCAATTCTGAAAAAAAATGACAAAGTTATATGTATTTTAGTGATTCCCCATTATAGTCTATGGCTGAATCACCGAATCACACTGAATCAGTGCTGAATCTTCAAAATCTGATTTGGCCGAATCAGTTTGGGACAGTGATCCAAGTCACAGATTCAAATCACTGTCCCCTGAATTGGCCAAATCTGAATCCAAATACTGGTTGCTTTGCATAGCCCTAATGCATACATGTATGTGGCATCCAGTGTGGCGGAGAGCAGCTCCCACAGCTCCCCTCAGGTAAGTCTATGGGAGGGCATAGGTGAGGTGTGGGGAAGGTGTGGGGGGGGGATAGATGACATGTCAGGAAGATATGGGGACACATTACTCTCCAGATTTCTATGCCCACAAGGGGCTTCAGCCTGGCTGAACCAGGATAAGCAGAAGCCACCTCCACCACCCAGTGGGTGGGACCCAGCATAGGAGAGTGGAGCAGAGTGGCAAGAGCCTATGCTGCCCCCTACCCACATCCCCTTTGGGGTTGAGCCACAGCCTGAGGGAAGCAGCAGTGGCAACCCAACAATGGCAACAGGATAGAGCCATGGTCCAGTGTCTGAGTGTCTGGCAGCAGGAAGAGATGAGGGCAGCATGGCCCTCCCCTATTCCTTTACTCCTTGTGCTGCTGGAAGCACAGCGGGAGTGGGGATTCTGGCAGCAGTAGCAACGAGTCTTGCTGCTTTGCTCTGCCATCATGCACTGGGTCCCACCTGCTGGTCCATGCCAGTCCAGCCAGGCTGCAGCCCCAAGCTCTCTGTGGCCACACAAATCTGGGGGAACACATGCCCCACCTTTCCCCCCTGATGCATGACCGGTGGTGTCACCTGTGGTTGGACACCCCTCTTGCCCCACACACCTCCTGCCCCACATGCTGAGGAGGCTGTGGCCTGCGGGTAGGGGCAGCAGATCAGGTGTGAGGGGCACCAGCAGGGCTTGGAGGGGTGGGGGGCTGCAGGTCCAGAGTGAGAGGCACTGGCGGGGACAAGGAGCTGCAGGTTGGGAGTGAGGGGTACCAGCAGTACTGGGGTGGGGGGGCTGTGGCTTGGGAGTGAGAGGCACCGGCCAATCAGGGCTGCTCAGCACCACAAAGTGGTGGCGGGAACAGCTGCATCTGGACTCGCACCCTGGTGAGTGGAGGCAGGGGAAGCTCTTATTTTTATATGAAAATAAAACCAAATCAAATGCCAAAATAGAAATAGTATTAAAAATGTATTTTATTAAATTGATTGAGGCACTGGTAGACTTCCAAACTGCTTTAAAATTGTAAATATATGAATAAAACATTGTGTTCAACTGATATCTATGTATCGATCTATCAGTCTATCAATCTATCTAGTGGTGTTTCATTTTAATTGCAGAAAAATGCAGACGGGGTTTTAAAATCAAAGAATTTGGAATTTTTAAACAGAGAAAACTAGGATCCCTGATTATAAGAGCCCTATGATTTTGTAAGTTGTGTATAACTAAATGTCTAGGCCAGGTTTCAAAATGTTGACTTTTGTCAGTCTATCCCTCAACTTCATTATTAATAAAATAAACCACTAATATCCTTTTCTATTGAAAAAAGGAGTTCACAATCACTGATACTTGGATGGAAAGTGCAAAGCATTACTTCAATTACATACCAGTATGCATAACAGATAAGCATCTCTGAAGACACTGGCAACTGAATCAGGTGTTTCAGTGTGGCCTGTTGACTCAGTGTTTTCTAAATTGTAAGGGTTAAAATAGCATTTTAGTCTGTCATGTTAACTTAGTTACTTTGTTTTTCATTCATAGACAGCTGGCAGGAAAAGATGATACCTAGCTGCCCAGATGTAGCTCTGGGATCAACAAGGACAATTCTTCCCTGCAAGGGAAATCTGAGTTATGAAAGAGCTGGCTTTCACTGAGCTCTGGACTCACTCCTGAAGAGGTATAACTCCATAGAATTTGGCTTGCTCTTGGGGAGTTGGGAGCAGCCCTAATGCAATGCAGATGTTCTGTTTCCATAAGAAAGTTCATTTCACTATCAGGGGCCATAACAGGCAGTCCAGCTTGAGCTAGCTGCTTAGTGAGCCACACCTGCATGGGGCGTTGACTGGCAGCCCTAACCCAGTTAATGACTCCAGTTGGCCTTGGTCTGGGCCTTTTGAATGACTGCTGGGAGATCAGTTTCTCCATTTATCTCCAGCTGTGGTAACAGCCATTGCAAGGGCAAGCAAGATCACTCAGAGCTTGCTCTGGATCGCCAGCCCTTCTTCTTTGTTGAGTGTCCAGGGTTCAGGCAGCTTATGGCGCTCATGGCCCCATCCTACCAAGTGCCCACATGCGTCACCTTTAGCAGGACAGTGGTGCCCTCCCTGTAGGAGGCATGCAGGGAGTACTTGAGGGAGGAGCTGTGCTAAAGTCTGCTTTAAGTCTCCCTGTTCCTGTGCTTTCTGGTTTTCCTGGTTCTGCTTGGCTCTGTTCTTGGACTCCAGCTTGTAGACTTTTGCTTGGATCTGGTAACTTAGTTTCAGCCTCCTGAACCTTGAGCCGGTCTGTGTTTTGGACCTAGTGGCTTAACCACTAGGATAGGCTACATATAACCCAGTATCTCACAGTGACTAACACACAAGTTGTATAACCTGATACCATGACCCAATGTTTCTTTTGAATCCACTCTTCCAGAGTTTTCCATGTATAATGTTTCTTGATATCAGCAAATTGGTGAAGAATGGGATTTCATGATGGGCTTGTAGGGCAAAAAGGAGAAGAGGGTTGCAGCCCTGACTAGAAGGCATTTTCATAGATTCATAGATTCTAGGGTCGAAAGGGACCTCAGTGGGCCATCCAGTCCAATTCTCCCTGGCAGGCAAGAAAAGGGTCACCAAACCTGGACTCATGATCCCAGCCAGGTACCTGTTCAGTCTCCTCTTGAAGACCCCCAAGGGTGGGGCAAGCACCACCTCCCTTGGAAGCCCATTCCAGATCCTGGCAACCCTGACCGTGAAGAACTTTTTTCTAATGTCCAGTCTAAACCTACTCTCCAGTAGCTTATGGACATTGTTCCTTGTTGTTCCAGGGGTGCCCTGGTAAACAGATCATCTCCTACTTCATGTTGCTCTCCCCTTATGAATTTGTATGCCGCCACAAGGTCCTCTCTTAGCCTTCTCTTGGAGAGGCTGAAGAGGTTAAGGTCCCTTAGCTTTTCCTCATAGGGTCTTCTCTGCAGGCCTCCAGTCAGACGAATGACTCTTCTTTGGACCCTCTCCAGGTTGTTCACATGCTGCTTGAACTGTGGCGCCCAGAACTGGACACAGTACTCCAGTTGCGGCATGACCAGTGCCAACATAGAGAGGGAGAATCACCTCTCTGGACCTGTTTGTGAAGCACCTACAGATGCATGACAAGGTGCGACTGGCTCTGCTGACTACATCACATTTATGACTCATGTTCATCCTGGCATCAACAGTGACTCCAAGATCTCTTTCTGCCTTAGTGGTGCTGAGAAGGTCGCCCCCCAGCCTATAGGTATGATGGCAATTCTTTCTCCCTAGATGCAGCACCTTGCACTTGTCCTTATTGAATTGCATCCTGTTGCTCTCTGCCCACTTCCCCAACCTGTCTAGGTCAGCCTGGATCTGGTTCCTCCTCTCCAGGATGTTAACTTCACCCCATATTTTTGTGTCATCCACGAATTTGGACAGGGTGCTTCCCAACCCCTCATCCAGATCACTGTGAAGTTGTTGAACAGCATCAATCCTAGAACTGAGCCATGAGGGACTCCACTGCACACAGCATTTATAATTGGCTACTTTTTTTACTGAATAATACATTTTTATCTTATTTATTTATTTGTAGTACTGTAAAAAATCAGCTCTTCTGACTCCCCTTGCAAAAACCAGTGAGTTACTAGGTCATGCCCCCAATAACCATATATGGAGAGAGGTTTTCATATAGAAGTCTCACTTCCTCCCACACACACTGTAAATTCACAGTATAATTGCTGGAATGATTTTATAATGTAGAAAGTTGCATTTGTTAGTGGCTTTGGAATTTGTGTTAACCTCTGTTTTACTGATGATATTAGATGCTGAAGGTAGCACACTCACCCATGAAACAATGTGAGAGACTCCCTGGAAGCAAATACTTACGCATATTTCCCACCCCACTTCTCTCACCCCTTACCATTTTTTTGGGCTTTGCTGTGGATTTCTGGCAACTTGTACCTTTGCTTTTAAAAGAAAACTACCAAAAAACAGTCTATCATTCAGTAAATTTATTATCCAGGAAAGATTAGAAAACTGATTTAGAGACTATTATGTTGTTTATAATAGGCCTTTTACCCCCTCTTTACCTTTGCTTATAAGTTTTGCTTCATATTTCCAATATTTTATATCTATCAAATTTAGACTATTTAAGGAGAAGAGGTTATATTGTAATGCAGGGATTGAATAGTGATATTAACAACTGAGGTATAAATGCATAAAATGGGAAAACAGACTTCTAGGAATGTATGGTAGTAAAACCCAGTTAGCTAATGAAAGATAACAAATTGTGTTGTAGGTAGAAGCATTAGTCCAGACAGATTCAGTTGCTTAAAGTTACACTCAGATGGGCATGATTGATGTAGTAAATTGCCATTGTTAACTACCTGAACAGTTCTAAATTTAAGTTAAAAAACACGTCTCCATCTTGAAAAGAATTCATAAGCTGAGTAAACCAAATGAAGTGAAGGATCAAACACAGAAGCAGCAGACCCAAATAACAGTTGTCATAAATAAATTTTATACGAATTTTTAAACATTTTTACAAGGAAATATATGGTATACCAGTCACCCTCTAAACTTGCTAGCTATTTCTAACTGTCCTTTTCCATTGCTGTCCCTTCACTTTTTGACCATTATTTTCACTCTAGTGATTATCTTCTCTTCCACTCCAGATACAAAAAGACTAGGTCTTGGAAAGGGGGTGGGAAAGAGATGATCACACTTTTTTGTAAGTTATTTATGTTCAGAATGACTATTAGAAACGTTGTTAATTAGTGCTGTGCGAAGCTTTGGTCTCTGATTTGATTTGGCAAAGATTCAGCCCGATTCGGTGGCTGAATCTTCGAATCCAAATTGAATCAGAGGACCCTTTAATCTCTCTGAATCAAATTGGAATATTCCAAATAAATTCAGGAAGAATTGGTGATTCGGACATAGAGACAACTTTAAATGTTTTTTCTACATACCTCTAAGTAGCAGGCAGCTTGTGAATGCTGCAATGGTGGGGCAGATGCAGCATCCCACAGAAGCACAGAGGGCTCTCCAGTGCGCTCAGCAGCAGACCTGTAAGTGGACCAGAAGCATTTCCAGTCCACTTCCAGGTCTGCTGGAGAGCATGCTGGGGGCCCCCCTGCATGCCTTCCTGGCTCGACGACTGTTGCCTCTTGGGTCTGGGGGGGCACTTGTGGTCCCTCTGTGGCCAATCGCCAAGGCAGGGGCATGTGGGGGAAGGCCTGCCCCATGCTCCCTGATGGACCCTGAAGTGGACCAGAACTGTTTCTGGTCTACTTCAGGGTTTGCTGCCAAGCATGTGGGGGACCCCACCGTGCTCCTGTGGGATGCTCCATCCACCCCAGCATCACAGCATTCATGAGCCACACCTGGTACCTCGAGGTATGTAGAAAAAACATTTAAAGCTGTGTGTATGTCCAAATCACTGATTCTCCGAATCAGCATCGAATCTTCATATTCAGATTCAGTTGAATTGAATCAGGGACAGTGATCCAAATCAACAATTCGAATCACTGTCCCCAATTTGGACTGAATACGAATCCGAATTGAATAGGGCCCATTTTGCAGATCCCTATTGTTAATGTATTACATAAATATAACTGGTACACCTTCTTTGGCAATCCCTCTCAGTCATGGATGATTGTCTTCCATAATTGTCTTATCTGTGTATCCAAAGATGGCTGATAATGAGGCCTATTTGGGACTGACAGACTCTACTGCAGCTCAGACATGTTTCTGTGTGGGGTGGGTGGCACTGAATTCTTGATTGGGTCTGTGATGCGCTGTTTCTGCCACTCCCACTTTTCCATCTCCTGTTGGTGTCGAGGTGTTGTCGATGTTTCACAGGACTGAGATCCTTGCAGCAGACTCTTCCTCCATTTGGGGTGGTCCTGGGCAATAATCTCCCATGAGTTGGCATCAATGTTGCATTTTTGTAAGTTGGCCCTGAGGATGTCGCTGAAGCACCTTCTCTGCCCTTCTCTTGAGCGTACACCTTGGCTGAGCTGAGAGAATAAAACTTGCTTTGGGAGTCTGGAGTCGGATATCTAGATGACATGGCAGCCCAACGAAGTTCATAGATTTCATAGACATTAGGGCTGGAAGGGACCTCGCAAGATCATTGGGTCTAGCCCCCTGCCCAAGGGGCAGGAAGTCAGCTGGGGTCAGCAAGATAAGCATTTAAGTCACCCCAGCTAGATAAGCATCTAAGTGTTTCTTAAAGGTATCCAGAGTAGGTGCTTGCAACACTTTTGTGGGGAGTCTATTCTAGACTCTGGAGACTCGGACAGTAAAGAAGTTTTTCATTATGTCTAGTCTAAAACAGTCTTACAGCAGTTTGTGACCATTAGACCTTGTTTGCCTTTGGGGTGCCCTGGTGAACAGACATTCTCCCAGTTCCTGATGCACACCCCTTATATACTTATAGGCTGTCACAAGTCACCCCTGACCCTTTTCCAGGCTGAAGAGTCCCATGCTTCTCAGCTTTTCCTCATAAGGCCTGTACTCTTGACCTCTAGTCATGTGTGTGGCTCTCCTCTGGAGTCTCTCAAGCTTCTCCATATCCTTTCTAAAGTACATAGCCCAGAATTGGTTGCAGTACTCCAGCTGCGGCCTCACGAAGGCAGAGTAAAGTGAGAGGATGACATCTTGGGTCTTGCTTTAGATGCATCAGTAGGTGTAAGCCAGAGTTTTATTTGCTTTGCTAGCTGTGACATTGCATTGGTGGCTCATATTCATCTTGTGGTCAGTCATGCCCCCAAGTCTCTCTCGGTCATGGTGCTAATGAGTGTAGCACTGCTGAGCCTTAAGTATGATGTGGGTTTTTTTCTCCTGAGGTGGAGCACCTTGCATTTCTCAGTGTTAAATGTCATCCAGTTTTGATCCACCTATCTTGCAAGCCTGTCCAGGTCAGCCTGAATTGCCAGCCTATCCTCTAGCATGACCGCACTTTGACCATAATTTAGTGTCATCTGGAAACTTAGCCAGTCCACTTCTGACACCCGAATCCAGATCTTTTATGAATATATTAAAGACTAGTTGTCCAAGTGCTGAGCACTGGGGAATGCCACTAGACACCATGTGCCACGTTGACTCAGATCCATCGACTATCACTCTATGGGTCTGAACATGGAGCCAGTTCCCCAGCCATTGAACTATAGGTTATCAAGGCCACAATGCCCCCCTTTTACCATGAGGACATCATGGGAGACGAAGTCAAAGGCTTTTTTGAAATCTAAATATATGATATCAACCTCTTCTCCTTTGTCCAGGTGATGCATCACCTGGTCATAGAAGGAAATGAGGCTGATCAGGCAAGACCTACCCGCAATAAAGCCATGTTGATTATCTCTTAGAATGTTGCCTTCCATTAGCCTGTTGTTGTTGGCTGCTTTGATGATTTTTCCAAGATATTTCCAGGGATTGAGGTCAAACTTATTGTCCTGTAGTTTCTTGGATCTTTCTTCCTTCCTTTCTTGAAGATAGGCACCACATTGGCCCTCTTCCAATCTTTTGGAACCTCCCCAAGCACCATAAGTTCTCAAATATCCTTGCCATTGGTCATGCTATGATGTCGGGAAACTCTTTTAGTACTCTTGGGTGCATTCCATCCAGGCCAGCTGGCTTGTGGGTGCCCAGTCTCTCAAGTTGTTCCCTCACAAGATCTTCATCAATTATAGGTGTATGATTGCCCTTACCCTTGTATTCCTGCATCCTGTCAGGCAGGGTGATCCCCTTGGGCTGGTGGAAAACTGATACAAAGTAATTGTTAAGGAGATTAGTTTTTTCCTGGGTGCCGGTTGTCAGCTGCCCCATTTGGTTCAGCCAGTGTCTGACGTTGCCCTTGTTTGTTTGTTTTTCCAACTTCCCAAGTATTTGAAGAAGGACTTTTTATTGTCCCTGATTCCTGTAGCCAGTTTGAATTTGGTTTCAGCCTTGGCTTTTCTGGTCTGCTCCCTACAAGTGCAGGCCAGTGCTGCATAATCTTCCTTAGTGGTGGTTCCTGACTTCCATCCCTTATAAGCTTCTCTTTTCAGATTCAGGAGGTCCACAAGTTCTCTGTTGAGCCAAGGGGGTCTTTCATCCCTTTTGCTACCTTTCCTATGGGCCAGAATGGACTTCCCTTGTGCTTTTAGGATCACATCCTTAAGGAGAGGCCACTCATTATGGACTCCTCTCCCTGTCAGATCATGGTCTCTCAGGGCCTCAGCAACTGACCTCCTGAGCTTGTGAAAGTCAGCTTTCCTAAAGTCAAGGATTTCTGCATTGCTGACTGATTTGCCAGCTTTGTGATACACAGAGAAAGTGATCAACTCATGATCACTGTCACCAAGCTTCCCTTCAATCCTCAGGTCACTGACTAAATCATCCGCTTTAGCCAGTACCAGATCCAGCAGCGCTTTGCCTCTTATTGGCCCGTAGACTTCTTGAGTCAAATAGAGCTCATCAATGCAAGTGAGGAAGCTTTGCAACCAATCAGATTTGGCTGAATGCTCTTCCCACGAAATGTCAGGGTGGTTGAAGTCACCCATAATGACCACGTACCTAGAGTGTGCAGCCTCTGCCAGTTCCCTAGTGAATTTGTGGTCAAACTCTTTCTCCTGGTTAAGAGGTCTGTAATAGACTCCTACAGTTATATCCCCGTCACCACATTTTCCCCATATTCTAACCCAGAGAGTCTCAAATTGCCCTCCTTGGGTGCCAGTCTCTGCTTGTGGGGAAGTGTATATTCCTTCATGTAGAGAGTTACACTCCCACCCTTCCTTGTAACACGATGCCTCCTGTACAAGTTAACCATCAATACCTGTGGTCCAGTTATAGGTGGAGTCCTACCATGTCTCCATTATCTCTATGATATAATATTCATTTTTACTTAGCAGAAGGGCCAGTTCCTCCTGTTTGTTCCCCATGCTCCTGGCATTTGTGTACAGGCAGCTAAACCTGCCATTGGAAGCCCTGGGCTTCATAGATTTCATAGACATTAGGGGCTGGAAGGGACCTCATGAGATCATCGACTGCAGCCCCCCTGCCACAGCCAGGAAGTCTGCTGGGGTCAAATGATCCCAGCAAGATAAACATCCAGACACCATTTGAATGAGTCCAGAGTAGGTACTTGCACTACCTCGGGGTGGAGTTTATTCCAGACCCTGGGCATACAGACTGTAAAGAATTTTTTTCTTATGTCCAGTCTAAATTGGCCTTCCAGGAGTTTGTGACCGTTAGACATTGTTATCCCTTGGGGAGTCCTGGTGATCAACTGTTCTCCCAGGTCCTGATGCATCCCCCTTATATACTTGTAGCCTACCACCAAGTCTCCCACGAGCCTTCTCTTCTCCAGGTTGAAGAGTCCCAAGTCCCGCAGCCTCTCCTCATAAGACTTGCTCTCTTGGCCTTTGATCATATAAGTAACTCTCCTTTGGACTCTCTCAAGTTACCCATGTCCCTCCTGAAGTGGGGGACCCAAACTGGACATGGTACTCCAGCTGTGGCCTCACTAAGGCCGAGTAAAGTGGGAGGATGACATCACTGATTTTGCTCAAGATGCATCAGTGGATTCATGCCAGGTTTTGGTTTGTTTTGCCTGCCACAGCATTGCATTGGTGGCTTAAGTTCATCTTGTGGTCAATCAAGACCCCCAAGTCTCTTTCGGTTGTGGTGCTAGCAAGCATAGCACTGCTGAGCCTAAAGGTATGCTGCTGGTTCTTTCTTCCATGGTGGAGCACTCTGCACTTGTCTACATTGAAGGCCATCTGGTTTTGGTCTGGCCACCTTGCAAATGTGTCCAAGTCAGCCTCTAACCCCAGCCTGTCTTCCAGTGTGACCACTTTCCCTCATAGTTTAGTGTCATCCGCAAACTTTGCCAGCCTGCATCTGACACCCAAATCCAGATCATTAATGAAGATGTTGAAGAGTACTGGCCTGAATACTGATCCCTGAGGGCTGAGCACTGGTCACCTTGCACCACATTGATTTGCTCCCATCAACTAGTACTCTCTGGGTCTGACCCCGGAGCCAGTTCCCCAGCTGTTGGACCATGTGATGATCAAGGTTGCAGTTCCCCAGCTTTACCATGAGGACATCATGGGAGACCAAGTCAAAGGCTTTCTTGAAATACAGATGTATGACCTCAACCTTATCTCCCTTGTCCAGGCAATGCATCACCTGGTCATAGGAGGAGACGAGGCAAGTTCTACCAGTGACAAACCCATGTTGGATGGCATTCAGAAGGTTGCCTTCCATTAGCCTATTGCTGATGGTTTCCTTGATGTTTTTCTCCAAGATCGTTGCAGGGATGGACATCAGACTGATTGGCCTGTAATCCTCTGGATTCTCCTTCCTTTCTTTCCTGAAGATTGGGATCACATTGGCTCTTTTCCAGTCTTCTGGAACCTCACCGGAGTGCCATGAATTTTCAAATATCTTTGCCATAGGATGCGCTATGATGTCTGCCAGCTTCTTCAAGACTCATGAGTGCATTCTGTCTGGGCCCATGGACTTATGTCTATGGTTTATGGCTTCCCTTTCCCTCAAGTTTATGTTGGGTGATCATCACCTCAGTGCTCATGGTGTTTGCTTGCAGAAGGATGCTAACATTGGTGTATCTATCTTCCCACTGGATTTGGAGGATCTTCTGCAGGCAGGATTGATGGTACTTCTCCAACAACTTTAGACATCTCTTGTACATTGTCCATGTCTCAGTTCCATACAGCATGGTGGGGATCATGACTTTTTGATAAACCATGAGCTTGGTTTCAGGTCTGATATTGCAATCTTCAAACACTCATTTCTTCAGGCATCCAAAGGCTGAGCTTGCACATTTGAAATTATGTTGAATTTCTTCGTCAATGTTAGCCTTCTGTGAGAGATGGCTTCGAAGGTATGGGAAATGCTCAGTGTTCTCCAGAGTCTCACCATATATCTGGATTACTGGAGCTGGGAACTGTTCAGTAGAAGCTTGTTGGTGAAGGAAATTAGTCTTTTGAATGTTAAGCACCAATCCTATTTTCTTATACACCTTAGTAAAGAAATCAATGATTGCCTGAAGGTCTTCTGAGTGAGCCCACACTACAGAACCATCAGCGTTCTGGAGCTCAGAGGTTGAGGTTGGGGTGGTCTTGGTTTTGGTTCAGAGTTAGCTTAGGTTAAACAGCTTACCCTCCATTTGGTAGTTTAGCTTCACTCCTTGGTGGTCAGCAGGAATCCTGGTTTTCTCTGATTTAAAAAAAAAATCCCAAATTTTCTGAAGTAAAAAAACACCCAAATCCACATTTTTCTGTGATTAAAATGAAGTACCACTTATTTATAGATAGATAGATAGATAGATAGATATAGTATATTAGTGGTGTTTCATTTTAATTACACAAAAATGTGGATTTTGGGGTTTTTTTTACAATGGAGAATTCTGGTAGTCAGATGTAACATTGCAGCAAAAAATATTGAGAAAAGCATTGGAGTGATGAAGCAGCCTTGCTTAATGCCCATTTGAACCCCAAAGGGATCTTGATAGGTCCATTACTGAGAGTCAACCACTCAGAGGAGGGCAGATTTCAATGAGGTAAGGAGACTACTCGGAGAGGCACTGAGGTCCCAGAGGGGAGAGGAGTTGGGAGTTCAAGAAGAGTGGTCATTCCTTAAGGAGATGATCCACCAAGCCCAAAGGTGACAATCCCCACGCAGATCAAAGGAGGCAAGAGTGCTCAAAAGCCCCCATGACTTACCAAAAGCATCCAGGAACGTCTCAAAGCTAAAAAGGAGGCGTACACCCAATGGAAGGGAGGGGCCATCACCAAGGAGGATTATACCTCCATTGCTCAAGTTGTCAGGAAGGCTAAGGTGGAGATGGAACTGGAACTAGCAACCCAGATCAAAGATAACAAGAAGTCCTTCTTTAAATACATAGGGGGTAAAAAGAAGGTACTGGGTAATGTGGGGGTTCTGCAGGACATGCTTGGAAATTTGATGGTCACACCAGATGCCAAAGGTAACCTCTTTAACAGAGTCTCTGCTTCCATTTTTCTAAGCAGGAACCAAGACATCCCCCCGCCCCCAGCCAGGATTTCGGACAGACCCAGGGGAGGCACAGCCAGGCCCAGGGTCAGCGAGGACCTAGTCAGGGAACTTCTGGTGGGACTAAACATGTTCATATCAGTAGGTCCTGATGATCTCCACCCCAGAGTGCTGAGGGAATTAGCAGAGGTTGCTGAGGGACCCCTGGCACAGCTTTATGAGCACTCATGGTGCTCTGGCCAGGTGCCAGAGGACTGGAAAAGGGCCAATGTCGTCCCCATTTTCAAAAAAGGGAGGAAAGAGGACCCAGGAAACTATAGGCCTGTTAGTCTTACCTTGGTCCTGGGAAAGCTCTTCGAGAAAATTATCCAGGAGCACATCTGCGAGGGATCAGCAAGGGAGATTATGCTCAGGGGCAGACAACATGGGTTCACTAGAGGTAGGTCCTGTCAGACCAACCTGGTTGCCTTCTACGACCAGGTCACAAAATCCTTGGACACAGGTGTCATGGTGGATGTAGTCTTTCT